TATAATATTTCTTCTTCTCTTAATTAAGATTAAATTTAATATTCATTATATTACAAAAACAAAAAAAAAAAAAAACAAAAAAATGATTCGTATATTTTTATGTTATATTTTCTAATGAACTATAAAGCATTTCAAATGTATATGATTTCCCTCTTATTAAGCCATAATATTTAGTATATAGTCAGTACAAAAACTAAGATAATATAAAAGAAATTAATGAGAGAAAGATATAACAATAAAATTATGTTTTTTTTTTTGTTTCTACTTTTTTTTTAGATAATAAAACTAACATGAAAACAATGTTACACAAACTCTAATAATTCAGATTGAAATTTTTTTTTTTTTTTAATACAAGTATTAACAAAATCTTAATGAAAAAATCTTGTACACTTACAAACACACAAACACACACTCAAACCAACAAAAAATTTATAAAAAAAACTTCTCTTGACTAAATGTATACATACATATATACAGTAGAAATTATACCTTCACGCTATGGATATAACACAAACAAGTACACATACAAAATTACTTAAAAGTTTATAGTTAAAAAAAAGAAAATTAGCAATGAAAAGATGATTAAAAATAAAAAATATTTAAATATCATTAAAATTTGCAAACGTTTTCTTTTGAAGAACGTAAAGCACGTCGCACGTAGCTTTCTCTAAAAAAACAACTTACGCAACTTACGTGTTTCGTCGATGAAAGTAACAAAGATTTTCTTAAGCAAAAATTATCATTTATTGCTATCGTAAGCTGTACATTCTTTCGATCTTTTCGTTAACTCATTTCCAAGGACTCTCGTCTTTTCAATCAAACCGTTTCTTTTTCTTCAAAAATGTCAGAACATTCGCCCATGAATTGCTTTCTGAGCAAACAGGTGGGACTCTGATGGAGCCAAGCCCACTCTGGCCGCTCCCTATCTCTCTTTCCACATTTCTTTCTAACCTTCCTCTTATTACAAGTACAGGGGACACGCCCTAAATGAAATTGGTCATAAAAAAAAAGTCTAGTGACTACGACAAGTGAGACAACCACTTGTTTCAACATGTTCTTAAGCAATTTTGCTGTTTTTGCAACATTACATTACTACATTAATAGACCCATGGGGGTCGTCCTTCCATCAGTACAACGCTATGTTGTCGGTGCTGGTGCTGGTAGTGTTGGTGATGTTGGTGTTATCTTAATAATATATAAACAATGTCTTTAGTAAATTCGATTATCCCTTGTTGAATGCTTTTTTTTTTTTAAAGATGCGAGACCGAGCGTATTCGGTAAGTTTCTTCTTAACCCAAAGTTATTACTAGCTTTTTGGACAAAATTTCAAACTCGTAATCAATAAATGATCGAATGACACCCAACTGAATATGAATAAGCATATTTCTATAGTGTCATTGACTCAAATGTCTGTATGGAAAGGCTGCCGACGATGGAAGAAAATGAAATTGAAGTTAAATTAATACCTTCCCAGACAGATGGTGAATGTTAAGATAATATAATCGCTACAACGTCTATACCACCAGGTTTCACCTCTCATCTCATAATAGATTAATCCTTATCATCCCATCAAACAAGGCAATAGGGTTAATCTGGGTTAATCGAAGCTCTTACGAGTTTAGAATCATCAAAATGAATCTATATTTCGATGCGGGTGAGAGTACGATGCGAAACCAACTGCATCAAGATATCGCAAAAGTGGCTGCCTACAGGTTCAACAAAGGAAAACAAGACAGATAAATGGATGGACAAACTTAATATATGCTCTTCCGTTCTAATCGCTAGTTGGAAAATAATAAAATTCTACCATGAGAAAATCAAGTGAGGAATAATATTAGTCCGTAACTTGAGTTTTTAAAGGCAGAAATTTTCTTTTTTTTTTCATAAAAACATAAGTAGTTTTTAAGAACTAGAATTTGAAGCGATTCGATAGCCGCTTTCCTTGCTAACCGCAAGAAATATACTGAATTCATTATCAACACGAATAACGTAATCGATGCAGCCATGCTTGTGCGTTTCTCTATCTGTGAAAACATCGGCTACTACGATTGTAAAATTTGTTAAGAAAAACAAAATTTATTCAATTTGAGTTTTGTTTTTTTTTTATACCTACCACGAAAGCATAGCGGGTGTGTCCATTTTGGCAAAGACTTTGCAACATTTCTCACTCAGTACATCAAATTCTGCACAATGTCCATCGGTCCGATTGTGTAATGTCTGTGACAAATATTCTTCTGGTTGGAAAAATGAATGCATCGAATACAAATTTGACATTGAAAATTTCTCTAAGCTGACTGATATTAAAAAGGAATCAAATCGGTCAAAGGGCAGGGCTCTAGTACCGAGACCATCTCGGTTTCCAAAAGAAAAAAAAATTGGGTTTCATTACTCATTACTCACAAGCTAGAACAATAAAATACAATAGAAAAATTTAAAAAAAAAACCGGCCATGCCCACTCAACAATATCAATTTCTTCGAGTTTTATTAAGGCAGAGAAGATTCGGTCGCATCCAAAATGTATATTTCTTACGTCGTTATATATTAAATACAATAATAGAAAAAGTTAACAAAAAATGGGGATAGAAACGCTAATGATGAGGATCTTTCTGTGGCATTAATCGCGATGATATAAGTATCGGAAAATACTTAAGTAGACGTACGTTGTAGAAAATATTTGATCGTTACTTAGGCCTCCGGCGATTGTTGATGGCAACAAAAGTTTCTCAATATGAGGATATGAATATTTTATTTATTCCGAACTGCGGCCAATTAACTAAGGCGCCCCATGTACCAATCTTAGCAAATTTCATGATCATGACGTAATACTTGAAAATTAAATAATTTGAGCAGATTTTACATACAATGCATAACAAAGGCAATTGAATCAATCATGAATCCTGACCCCAAACAAATCGAACATAGAGCCCTTTTAAGCCCCAAATGAGTCCATCAAGCATTTTTTCGACGCAAACGAGGTGGAATTTGTCATTCAGCAACCATTAGCTGAAGTTAAGTATTTTTGAATTTCTACAATTCACATGGATAACCTATTTATGCTTTGTATAACTTATCACATACCAGAACACTTTAAAAAGATCCCTGTAATAAAAAAGATGTCTTTGATCGGAAACGAATGCAAACAAGCATCGCTGCAATTAGTATAATTCGAAGTTAAAGGCGTAAAGCAGGCTCATGCATAAAACATTCCTTTCTTCCATGAATGCTTTAATGTTTTTTTATATTCTTGGGTAGCGTGCACAATAATTGTACATTTTTTTTTTTTTTACCTACTTCCAAGGTAACAGAACACCAAAATTCAAAATCTGTCATTGGTTTTGTAAGGCCTCCTTCACTTTAGAGCTTTAAGTGTTTTCTCACTTTTCGCGCTCTGTGAACTAAACGACAAGCAGAGTAAGAAGAAATTTGTCATAATTTGTTACATTAATTATTAAGAAGAAGATGTAAGGACAAGAAATGCAGGAAAAATGAGAGCGAAAAAGGGAGCGAAAATAAGTAAGAAAGAGAAACGAAGGAAGATTGCTTTTGAGCAACTAACATCAAGCAAGCAGAATTACAAAATTATGTCTAATTATGACAAGTTTCAGTATCTTAAGTCAATTTCTCTCACTTCTGGAATTTCAACAAGTAAGAATGCTATAGTCGGGCAAGGTCGATCTTTAAATGCGCCACACCACTATGCCCAATACAGGCGTTCACTCATTTCATTAATAATTCACCAAAAATTATACACCATTTTTATATGAAGGCATAATTTCCATGGAAGCCGTGATATTGAAGGATAACTAAAGGTTAAAGAGGTTTAGCAAACTTAATTTGGCTGTCAAAGATTTTTTAATTTTTCAGTTGCCATAGAAAAGGTAGCTTTCATGAAAGTTCCTATCTACGGTAAGGCTTAAAAAATAGACTTATGCGGCCCAAATTCCCTATGATTAATTCCTGAAGCACCAATTTCCATTATAAAATATTAAAAATTGGACCATTTTGGCATATAAAGGCTGATTTTTCATAGAACCCAATGGGGATGGATAGAATCGATGGGCTAAGGCTTAAGTGGTCCAATGTCAAATTATTATTATTATTATGAACGAATTTTCATCAAGAAGTATTGAAAATTAGCCTTTTTGCCATCTAAACATTTAGTTTCCGTAGAAGCGGTTGTATTTCAAGACATTCATAAAATTGCCCCTTCCGAGTCACAGTTCTCGAGCCAAATTAGAATGCCGCAGTAGTACTATTAAGCGATTTTTGTCGCGATTGTATAAAAATGATATTATCTTTCCGAAAAAGACGATATATTGGGAGTGGTCGAAAAGGTGCTTCGAACCCGTAGATGAAACGACGTTAGTGCAGCAAATTTCATCAAAATATTTCGAAAATTGCGTCCGGTAGACTTAACACAAGTGTTCATGGGCAGGCATCGGACGGACAGACAAGACTAGATCGATTCAGAATCGTTTTCTGGTCATTCCCGATATCATAGAAAGTGGATCTACCTCAGCCCCAGTTCTGGGCGGATAAGAAGCGAAACTATATGGATGGATAAAAGGGGGGAACTCCATTAAGATTTAAGGAAAAAAAAAAAAAAAAAAAAAAAAAAAAAAACAACAACAAAAAAGGACATCTGCGTAAGGTGGTGAGATTTTAAACCTTTCAAAAGAAGATAAACTAAAACATCCAAGATTTGTTTTGCTTAGAATTTACTGTCAAATTGATGGACATAATAAGCTGAGGAAAAAAAAAATCACAATTGAAGCGTGAAAAAAAAATCAGTTGTAAGCGAAACATTGAAAACCGTTATTGAAGCTATTCAAAGAAAAGTGCGCATAGGGAAGAGAGAAAGGAAAATATTTTGAAAATATTTTTGTCAATATTTTGAAAATTGGAAATTTACTTACTACTAAAGGGAAAAGTTTTATGTTAACAAACACAAAAATGTAAAATAAATCTATTCTATAATGAAATGAAATGAAATGAATTTAAAAGCAAAAAAAAAACCGTATTGCGATCATTCTACTGCAGGTCTGCTTTATTGCGAACATCGCAGGATGAGGCTGTATTAATACTGAGTAGTCCGAAACGTAGGGAAATTTTGAAGGAAGGTCCACCGCAAAACATTCGTAATAATATTTTAGGTAAAGGTGCTTATGGAACAGTTATTAAGGCAGTTTATAAAGGTGACTACTATTAAATTTCGAATTTTTTGGTTTTTCTTTTTTTTTTTTTTCGTTTATTTCTTTTGTAATAATGACTTCCTTACCAGCTAAGCCGGTGGCAGTGAAAATCGTTAAAAATCTCGGTGATTGTAATCATCAAACCATGCGAAATGAATCGCATGTTTTAGGCTGGAAGCATGCGAACATTGTTCGAATATTTAAGGTACTGTTGCGTGTAATGATGTGTTTGCGATGGCAATTAAAAGAGGATTTCTTATCTCTGCCTTCAGGTTGAGATAACTATGAATTTTGCTATTGTTATAATGGAACGTTTTCTGGGCCATTCTCTGCAAAAGATTTTAGACTGTATGGAATTGCCTTTAAAGCACCGTGTCTAGTAAGACATTTGCAAATGAAAAGCAACGAATCATTGCATCAAAACAATGTCATCATCATTTTTTTTTTCTAGTATTGGTTTGGATGTATTGGCCGCTTTGATGTATTGTCATAAACGCAATTTATTGCATATGGATGTTAAACCCAAAAATGTCATGATTACATGGGGTAATAATAATGAGAACTGGTCAAACAAGTGTTACACATGTAAGCTATGCGATTTTGGTTCGTCGGTTAAAATAACTGAGCAAACTACCGCCGTAAAGGGAATAATAAAGGTTAGAGACATCGAAAATCGTACAAGTTCATGCAAATTTTCCAAATCTCATTTGTTCTTTATTTTTTTTTTTATTTTTTTTTTTTTAGGGTACTGTGCGATACATGGCCCCAGAAGCTTTAAAAGAAGAATATCTTCACTCATCAGCTGATATTTATTCATTAGGCATTACTTTATGGCAAATGAAGTATCGTCACTTGCCCTACGACTGGTTAGAGTGCAACGAAATAGTAGCCTATCAAGTGGTGAAAAATAATTTAAGACCAACAGCTTGTTCAAGTCAAAAAGCAGCTAATAATAATAATCGGGCAATAATGCCTTCTAGTCGTCAAAGTTGTTACTCGAAAACTCTGGTAGATGTTTCAAAAAACTCTTTGAAAAATGTCCAAAATATTTTGAAACCTCCTAAAGCTACTTTAACAAGTTCGAAAGGCAACTTCGATGGAAACCATAGTCAGAAAAGCATTCGGAAACCTTTTGAAGATTTAAATATCGTTGCTAAGTCTTCTGAAAATGTTAAATGCAATTTAAGTCGAGCCAATCGTATGTATCCAGAAACGATGTTTCAAATCGGTGATGAGGCGATCTATGTTGATCCTATTAAAGAACAAAAGTACGATGACTTGTACATAAAGTGTTGGGATAATGATTGCTCAAGAAGGCCATCTGGCAAAGATCTTAGGAGAGATTTAAAAGAATTGCTTTAACTTCTTATCTGTTTATCGTTTTGCAAACGTTTCATCTTTTTTTTTTTCAATCTTGTTTTTGTTTTCTTTTTACAGAATTGTTGTGTTATTTGATAATTACATGTCTCACTGAGTTCAGTACATTCAGTATTATTTCAACTTGTCTCGTTTACGATGTACTACAGTTGTAATTTATTATATCCCATTAATAATTTGCTTATCGTGTTTCTGTTTAAAATAATTTTCTAGTTTATATTACTTTGTTATTTATTCTACGCTTTTAATAAATTCTTATGCTCTTTTAAAATGAATGATTACTTAATTAGTGTAGGATCAAGCCGACAGTTTCATTGTAGCAGCTCACTTCGCTCTACGTGTCACTGGACATAAGTAATAGATGTGGAGGAAGAACTGAAAAATTATTCCGGAAATCAGTTTGCTCTATGACTAACTGCCGGTGTGAAGAAACAATTTACTTGTTTAAGGATGAGATCACTCTGCTCTCTAAAGCATTCAAGAAGTCATCCAAAGACATCAAGGTGCGGAGTAATGTATTCCTGTACCGAGCTGGGCGGACAATATTTTAACGTTCAGCCACATAGATAGAGAGAAACTACGATTGTGATTGAAGAATTTTCTAGAGATAGATTAACAAGTTTCTGCTTTCAACCCATAATAAATACTGTATATTTATATTTAGCTGTGACACTGTCACGGTATCGTGCAAACGGCAACATCATCGAGGTAGTCACTTGCCTTTTTGTGGCTTTCATAATTTGAGAGCCTTGTTACAACCTACACTGCCTGTCGCATAACGTAAGTTCACGCGGTTATGTACAATATGCAGAAGGACTTGAAATAGACCGACCTTTTCTCTTATTCTAGCTTGTTTGTCAGTCTTATGTTCTTGCGCTCAACCTACAGAATGAACGCGGTTTTCCAATTGCTTCGAATTGGAGCACTTTTTCGACCCTTTCCCAGGCACGAGCACATTTAATGGCGAGCCGTGGCCAACTATAATACTTTTACTTGCTTGATAAAATTTAATTATGACTATACTGACTCCCGAATAGTAAAATTTGACACAATACCGCAATAAAATTGACTAAGGGCAACAAGAGAAAACATTATTTTCTCCTACGACTAATAAGCTATGACTACAGTCAGAGTATGAGTGTAAAGTAGATTCCCATCCATAATATATGGCAATAACGCAATAGTGAAGTAAAGCGGTGTGCAGATGAATTTGTCTCAAATAAGCGAAAGCAGGAAAGTAACCATTTAAGCGAAGCGCCAGAATTTAGAACTTTACGTGAAAGAAATTTTATTCAGATTGAATCGAATTAACGTCTCATCTCATGGTGTACAAAATATATATGTATATAATAGCAAAGCAATATGGCACTGTTTCTTTGACAAATTCAACAGCTATTTCAACTGTTCAATAAGTCGTAAACTCAGTCGAAAGTGACTATAGCAAAAAGGGATAAAATCAATAGCAATCTTCTGAGCAATTTCTCTGTATGCTTACCGGAACTTAACAACTCGGGTTTTATAATACTGATCTCGGAGAATTTACTTATTGACTATTCTTTCGGAAAACTAAAATCGCCAAAAAATCTAAACAACTACAACAAGAACATAGTCTTCTTTGAAACATCTGATGTTGTTCCTGGTATTATCAGTATGGGCATTTTGCAGGGCGGATCAGAGATCTAATTCTTGTCTTCAGATGCTTTTGAAAAATCTAATACGTATCCGTATCGTGTCGTGTTGTGCAAACAATCAGGGTGTACGATCTTTAGCTTTCAAATTTGTATCAATATATAATTTATAATTTATTTCTATATGAAAACTTTACACAATTGGCTTAAACATATTATTGATAAAAATTTTTAATAAGAATTAATTTTTGCTTTTTTTAATGCATAATTAAAAATTTATAACAACTTTTTTTTTTTTTTTATAACAATAATTTAAAAAATCTAACTAATTTAACAATAATGCGAGTATTCCAAGGACATTTTCTATTTAGTTTTCTTTTACAATAAAATAATACAAAAGCCAAAAAAGAAAAAAAAATAAAACAAATGCTTTTAATTTATCTAATTATCAAAATGATTGAAATAAATATATGCGAAGAAAGAGCAGCAAATGTTAATAGCAATAATACCCGTCCACACCACACGCTAATCAATTATGTATATACAACAAAAAAAAAAGCATTGAAAAAATGTTCTTAAAGAAAACGATTTCTATGAAGCTCTTCAGTTTCTAAGCGTAATTTCTGAAAAATTGAAAAAATTTATTTATTTATTTATTAATGCTTTGGAAAGAATTTTTGCAAAAAAAAGTGTAAGAATAATGAAAATTTTATTCAAACTTACATGAAAAACATCTTGAATTTTATCCGTAATTAGTTTACGAGCCACGATCTCTTTAACACCACGAAATTTAAGATCTTCGATAAAATCATTCATATCAATAGGTTTTCCTACGTTTAGCGTCACTTTTTTGCCGAATTTCAAATAATACGGTTCAGTGTTAGGTAATACACTATCCATGCCTTCGTGCCACATTGGCAGTATAATGGGGACACGTGGCGATTCGTAAATAATGCGCCCCACTCCCCACTTAAGCCGCATCTCCTCTTTGGTCATGTTTACCTTACCTTCGGGAAATACATGCACCCATTCGCCCAATTTTAGTTTTTGTATGCAAACATCTACAGCGCTTTGGTGCACACCATTGCCACGAATAATTGGAATGCATTTTCCTACAAATTAATATTAAAAAAAAAATGAAAATCTTAAAAAAGTTGAAAAATCATTTTTCACTTTCTCACTTTGCATCGTCGTACTCACCGTACATAAAAAATAACGAGTGATATATATTTGTAAAGCAAATATCATGAGCAGCTAAGGACCAACGAATTTTAAATGTATTGCATACATATCGCATGGGAAGCACACCTAAGAAAAAGGGGAAGGTGAGAGAAGGTATTTATTAAATTTTTCAAACTTCGATAGCTTTGTTCTTAAAAAACCAAAACTTACTTACCCCATAGGCCGGGATCATCGAAGCATGAATAGTGATTTGAAACCGTTACTAAAGGAGTACCAGGCGGCCGTTTACCTATAGCATCTATCAGTCTTTGTTTATTGTAAACGTGAGTTTTATTCATAAGAACTATTCACGTAACCAGTTAGAAGAAAAAATAAATTTTTTTAATTAAGCATAGAAATTAAGTATTTTTTGATAAATAAATGAGAAACTGATTGATATTTTGGGGAACCAAATAAACTAAAGTAAAAAACTGCATGTTCAAGAAGAAGTATCTCCTCTAAATAAAGAAGCTTTCTTCACATTGATATCGAGCAAGCATCTTTGAAGATGCAATAATTATGCGTAATTATCATCGCTACAACAATTCTCCTCAAAGTGAATACAACTTTTTATTGATCTCATCCGTGGCTAGTAGCGCACATAACAACTATTTCTGCATCTCTCAATTGGAAAAGTGCGACTTTTTTCTTAAGGCGCAACTTAATGCGCCTTCTCGCTCGATCGCATTGTGATAAATTAGACACGTTCGAGCTATTGGCTCGAATTGCGAATCTTACGAGAGGAACGGCTTAAGATCTACGTCCAATTGAAGTAATTAAGTTGTTATATTAGATCCACGATAAAGTTCCGACCATTTTTAGAATAAAACTAAACTCTAATTTGCCAATATGGACCGAAATGGTTTGATGATCGCACGGTCGATCAAAAATGGTCGCTCGGAGCGCGGCTTATTAAAAAGGTCGAAATCACCTATTTTTTCGAATCATGCTTCTTGCAATTCGTACAAAGTGCAATGGTATAAATAAACTTTGTCAGTAGCCGTAGGTGCATGGAGATCATGCCTCACTTAGTTCTAACGTGAATCATCTTCAGGTCAGCATGTATACGCTCAGTGGTGGAAAAAGAAAACACGCGTCACTGCGTTAAATACTTGCACGTGTACATGTTAGAACGGGACAGAGGTTTCCGGTTAAACAATTAAACTGAAAACATCTACCTAAAGATGCAAAAAGACTGACACCGCCTGAGAAACAGCTATGTCCGTTGTTTTTCCCACACACCTATGACAGCATTCGTCAACTCAGTTGAGAAAGAAAAAAACGATCGGAGGAGGAGATTATGTTATTTATGATGACGTACGTGAATATTTCGACAAATAAATCAAAAACGATCATAAAAAATTATACTTCAGAGAGTATATCGGTGCAATTGTTACAAAAAATCTATAGTATTGGAGTATCAGGACTTTTCAATCCATAAGAATTATTAACTCATTATTAATACTAAACACACAAAGCTACATCAATTACAACGAGGAAGAGGGAAATTTTCTTTCATAAATTAACAACGAACCAAATATAATCGTAATTAAAACCAAAACAACAATAAAAAAAAAAAAAAAATGCGCAATACAACCATCCGATGTTATTTATTTGTTTATTGTTAACTAATTAATTAATTAAAATAAATATAAAAAAACTTTTCAAACCAATCTATAAGTAGATTACACTTTCTACGTCATAGGGTTTCTCTTTTTTTTTTTTGGAACAAACACATACATTCTCTTTATCTGTGAATTTCGTAATAAGTTATTTATGTAAATATAAATCAAGTTGGCTGCACACTACTACTAATCTGATGTATGAAGGAAGTCGTTGACTTGCATAGCTTTTTCTATTTATACGCCATACAGACGTATGCAAGGTCATGGTTTCTAATTGGCAAACACACAATGCATATATCACTCAAGATATAATCATATCGAAATTAAAGAAAAAAATTTTAAAATAAATTCGAAAACTCAAACATTAATAGATGCCGGACGTGTAAGCATGTAACGCTGTTGAATTAAAAACAGATAGACAGGAAGCAACTAAATAAAGCCAAGAAAAGCGGGCGTGTAGGTTAAATGGACGAAGTGACTGACTTAAGCAAAATTTATTCCAAATCCCATGTGATTACAATAATAGATGTCTAAAGGGCCGATTGAGTTCTTATAAATTGTTCTCTGATGCAGGTTTAGAAGTTTCTACTAGGAGAGACAAGAAATCCGTGGTTAAAGGGCTATATAGTACGACCTTCAATTAGACAGTAAATGCATGAATATCTCAAAACTTTATGGATATTTTACACTATCTTGGGGGAATCTTTGTATCGGATTTTCAACAATTATTCTCTGACTGGGATTTATAATGCATTTCACTTTGCTACACAAGTGAACTATACCAAGAAGCGGATGCTTTCACGTATTCATAACCAAATTCTTTAAATAAGCTCTGCCTGACAACTGCTGCTCCGTTAGTAGCTGAGTCGCAAGTACAGGCACGATATTCTTTCGACGACTTATCCTTAATTGTTAAATGACCAGAACATCAAGAGCGCATATTGGCGTTGGGACTGATCACTAACCATGCAAGGAAACAATATGTTTTCTACACCAATTTAGTATTTCAACCCGCATACGACTGCTACAGTCGTAAAGCAGTGTAAATTGACAGAAGCGCACCAAGCTTCCCTAACCTAATCCAATACTAATCTATAATCGTATCTGCTATGGTTTACTGCTTATGCAATATAGTAATAATCTATATTTTAATGACAATCTTAAAATTCACCTGATACTTATACTTCCGTATTGTGTACTTTATCACTTACTACAATACACTTAAATTGGCCCTTGAAGGGCTTGTGTATTGAATTTTTGAATTACTTTAAATGAAATAATTTAAATTGAAAGAATTTTAGTAGAGTATCTATTAATAGCATTGACACTCATGATTACATTGTAATTAAAAGATTAACCGATTGAGAGAAACTAGAATAAATTCTGCGAAATTATAACGACATCAGCAAAAGAGATGCATTCGCTTCCTTACTTTGTTAGCCATTTCATTCTCGGCTGCTCTCAGCAACAGTTTAATTAGATTTATTTAGTCAAAACCTTGTGTACTTGTTATACGCAAAGCGAAACATCTATTAGGCGGCCATCATTACACAACTAAAGAAAACTTATTCTAATTTCAATATTGTAGTTGGACTTATGAGTTATAGGTGAACTTATAAAGTTATTTATATAATTTCCAATCTTAAATATTTAGCACCGGAAGTGTTCTGAACTAACTCCATATTATCGATAAAAAAAAAGTGCGTGAACTTCACACGAATTAACCATTAGAAGCAATTTAAACGTTTCACGGCAATTGCATTCAAATGAAATTCGCAACATAGCTTTGTTTTGCAGTAGAAGTTTCTGATGCGGCCTGAGAATGGCAAAGTTTTAAATATAGTTATCTTATGTCCTTGCAAAGTTTAATTAAGCCTAATCATTAGGCACAGGCTATGAGGTAAGCTAGTTATCGCAGAAAAAATATCTTAGTAAGAAATTTTTATATTTACCATGCCTCGCTTTACTATCCTTGTCCTCCTTCTCTGCAACTCCCATATCGGAGGCTTCACGAGATACACCTATATTCATATATATTATACATATTTTTACGAAATTCACATATTAGAAGAATGATGAAAGGAAAAATCTTCATACGTCAACGTCACAGAAAAAGAAGGCGTATTAGGTTAAAAGAAATTCTCTCATAACAAATAAAAGATGAAATAAGATTTTATGCTGTCGTTGGTGAACACACGACCAACTTAACTGCCAATATAACTAAGAGAAAGAGAGAGAGAGAGAGAAATTTGAGAAAAAACTGGAAAAAAAACACTGCCAATAAGCATTAATTTAAAATAGAAGGAATTCATAACCTCAGACTGTACAAAAAAAAATTAAACTCAATAAAATCGAAAGAAATGAGCATAACAAATAGTAAAAACTGTTTGATATTATGTTGGTCTTATCCTTAACAGGCCAGTAAGCCTAAGCTATGTAAGCAAACAGAAAAAAAAAGAAAAATTAGAATAGCGGATGAAATCCAATATATAAGAACGGTAAACGAAATTCCCTGCTAACCAGTATCAGATGAGAGTTAACAGAAACATCAGAATACTAAGTGATGTGTTTCGACATTTACGACATTTCGACGATTTACATATGGGCGAAGAATTTACTCCTCGCATTTGGCAAGAAGAATTTACTCGAAGGCAAGAGTCGGAACAAAGAATTTATTGTTTCAGAAAAATTATTATTAGAAATTAAGCGCTTCACGCAATGAATGCATTTGCTAATCTCAAAATATGATTCACTTGTATACGCATTCCACATAGCTTACACAGCTCTATTGCACCGTTTCATATATATTGCAATGTATGCATTTGCATTTGCATTGGCAGCAAGACAGTGATGTGTTTGTGAATGAAAACAAAACACAACTCGTATGCTTAATATTTTAGGCATCATATGGTTTTGATTTGGTTGTTTGGTCGTTTGGACTTTTATTAAACCCGATTTCGTTATGCCATAAAAGTTTCCTAATTAATTATAAAAAATAAATGGATTCGCATAATTATTATGAAAAATAATTAACATTGTTCTTTGCTCAGAAAATATTAATTGCTCAGCTGTTCAAATCATATAACTTCCCTGCACTAATGCAATGTAAGTATAAAGTACGGCGATTTCATTTCCATTCACTTTCTGACCCTATATATTGCGTCATTGCAACAATGCACGATTCAAATCTTTTCATTGTTGTAACTTTTAAAAATAATTCTTTGTAAATAACTTGTTCCAATTTTGCAGATAACGCCTAACATGAGAAAAGGAATTAGTTTTACGCAAAAGGGTTTCAGATTTTAAGTTTGTTTATGTGTCTCCCTCGTGTTAGTCTATAGCGCCTGTTCTTAGTAGTTCTAACGAAAGAAGTAAATCTTGGAATATAAAAATCAACCTTGAAAATAGGCGCCATTCCTATATATAAAAGCAAAGCTTCGCAATACACGAATGCTTGAACGTAAAAAGAAACTTATTTACATCGTAATATAAAAGTCCTACGGGACCAGAATCGAAGCTATCGTAAATCTTTCATATAACGTTTTAAGCTGAAATAATTCGAAATCGTATGCCTTGTCTCATATATGAATTGCAATTATAATGGATTGAATAGAAACACCTTTCAAGTCAGAAATCAACCGATTTAACCGTATTAACCGTTGCATCTAACCTAACCGTTTTTCTCAGTGTACGTTACGTATTTCTGTGTGTTGTAAGGCAAGAAGTTTAATGATACCCCCAGTAATTTGATTTCATACAATATTGACATAATGCATTACTAGTTGCATTGAAGTTTTTGTAAATGTGCACACAACAACAATGTCAAGTGTATCGCACAAATAGTAACATTATTTGGCTTTTTAGTTTAATATTTTCGTATACATTAAGCATAGAAGAGAGTGGATATTCCACTTGTTGACACCAAAAAATATGCATTACGAATACATAAGGCCAGTTTAGTTTTGAACATTCCGAATAGCCCAAGGTTTTTTCAGATATTTATGGGATGTTTACATTGAATTAAAAGGCGGGAGACGCTAACAAACATAGACATAGTCTCGTGTGGCATCTTGAGCTATGAGCATATTATTTCCCAGTTAACCACGACTGTTGATCAACAATACTAGACTCTATGCATATTTTTCTACACATTAAACATAAACACATTTAACGTACGTCATTTACTAAGGCCAGTATCGACCTATCAAAGAGTAGATTAATTAATTGATTAAAAATGCCAAAAAAGAACGCCTGAAAATTCTATAACCTCCTCTTATAGCAAGAGTGTTTCTAACTTTGCGTATAACAACCATCCTCGAAGACAAAATTCTTCCTTTTTGGGAGCATAATATTCTAAGCATATGTTACATTTTCAGTTAGTTTAGTTTCAAATGAATTAGCACATTTATGTGAGCGGAATTTTCAATTAAATATATATAGTGCGTATACGCAGTAGAACTTCCACATTTATGCAGCATTTTAGGCGAAAGGTATCGCAATCTAATTTTTATGAAACGCATTTGCAATGTGCTTATGAAGCAGAACAACAACTAGAGAATGGTGAGCGAGCGTACTAAAAAACTAGGTGTGAGTCGCTAAAACTTTGTTTAATTTTTTTATTTTGTCTTCTTTCTTTGTTGTTCATTGCGACTGTTTTTCAATGTAACGGAACAATGACTCGTTTGCATCGGAAAATAGTGGAACTGCCAGATTTGTGGGTAGTGCTAGTGGAGACCACTTCCTAGATAAGGTTTATTTTTGTCGCAAGTAGGTTTATTTTGTCCGCGGTATAGGAAAATTTTGTGTATCGCAATGTTAAATGCGATAATATATTAAATAGAACACTTACCCAAAACAATTTTACTAAATAATCCAACTGCGAATATAGTGATTTGACTGACAACATACCAAAATCCTGAGGGTCTCAGCATACGCGGAAATATCCAATCAATATCATAAGGGATATGTGTTGGGGGGGTTAACGGGGTCGACGGTGTTGACGGAGTTGTAGGAAGTGACGGACTTGAGAGCGATGGCAGAGTGGGCCGAGGCAATGAAGGTAGCGACGTCTGTTGTTCCACTCGTTTATCTGTTAGCGTTTGTTGTGGTTGCTTGGTTTTTTGCCTGACTTCCTGATTTTTGATCTTATGATTGTGCATTTCCGGCAATGATTTATTATGAAATTTCTTCTTTTTACAGTCGTCTAAATGTTGTTGATTTTTATCTGCTATGGATGATGACGATGATTTGAAAAATCTGCAATCGTGATGCTGTTCGAAGAGTGGGCGGAACTTTTTATTTCGTTATTGTAATTTTAATCAAATAATATTATGAGTAAAGTGAAAAAGAATTGCTGCTCCTTTTATGAATTTTATACTCTTTAACATTCTAAAAAGAATTAATTTATTTTTCTTCCTCCTACAAAACGAATTTGTTCTTCCTTTTGATTCTTTCAAAAAAATGCCTGCCTGTTACACAAATCATTTTTGACAATTAAAACCAAAGCTTTATTTGTTAACACACTTTTATATGGGAGCAGTGGTTAAGAGAGAGTCACTCTTCTATCACGGTGGCAGTTAACAATTGTTCAAATCTGCATTCATTGAGAGTTATATTAAACTAGAAGGATAAATATTGAAAGGCTGTTGAATATGCGAAACATTTTCATTACTCAGTCCAGCACACACCAATGCAAATGCGCAGTTTATTTATGCATAAATGCTTTGACAGATTAAAGGCACCAGTGATAGATACACCGACGATAATAATCATAAGTGGGCCATAGTGGTTATTTATATATGAAGGCATACGCATACGCACACACGTATGTACATACGAATTTCGGGAATATCATACAATTGCTATCACTCATAGATCCAGATGACATATCCTTTCTCTTCTACTTTTCATTAGATTTTTATAAACGTAACCAAACGTTATTCTTAAAACTATTTAACAAAAAAAAAAAAACTGTTTTTAATTGTTTCATGAATGTTTTAAATTCTTGTAACTGCGGCAACAAACCGTTTCTCTACATTCACACAAGAACACGAATGAATAATGCGCAATAATCCGTTATAACGATGAGAGTTTAAGACCAACTGACTAAAATTTTTCCTTTTTATAGATGCAACTTGTTGTTGTTATTATTGTGTTTATTATTGCTGCTATTACAGCTGATTGTTGAATAAAAACAGTGGAATACGGCATAGAAATGAGAGCGAACGTTAAAGAAAAAACAATTAAAGATAGAAACATATAAGCAACTTTTTTTTGTACAACTTTTATCTATTTGGATTAAAATGGAAAGGGGAGAAGTGTTAGATGAGAAAGTATTAATCAGAAAAAACGTGTAAGTAATTTTTTTTTTTTTTGTTGTCAACCAAAACTTTTAAAATATGCTAATGGACTTTGCAATCGTGACTTTTGCAAACATTAGAAATAATCTACGACAAAGTATAGATTAATTAAAAACTTTACATTCAGCTTTGGGAAATTATATTGCTTTTGTAAGTCACACGCGTCAATGAAATTTCGCTTTGAATACCCACGAATGTCCTGAATGACTTTGACTATGATTATTTAGCATTTCCATCCGCGAAAATAATCAAAGTAAAAAAGCTATAAATTTTTGCATATAACGTGCTTTGAAATTCATACATCAAACTTAATAATACATATATAATATTGAATCTCGAGTTCTATTTTTTACGCTCTCCGATTACTTGTTGTTGTGCTGTTGTGTTTTAAGAAATATTTTACAACGCCAAAAACAAAGCCAAATCATAATATATATGGCAACACTGCAAGTCTAATTCGCCCTGTGTCCAAATGTTTTCTTTAACTTAACATATATTTAACATAACCAAAGAATAACACGTGCCTAACACATTTAAAACAATGTCTCGATATAAGGCGAAAAACACAACACTTTAGTTGAACAGATTAGCTCGCGTGCGTTAAAGTAAAGCTAAGCGTTCAGTTACATTAACGAAGTGCAAAATTAGTAAAGCGAAAAATTTTTTGGAAAAATTACTATTTAACGGGAAACAATGTTAATTAAGCGAAATAAAAATTTTGCCTTGTAGAAATAAATAGCAAAATACTTTAGCTTAATTTTTTTTTAATGAAAATGTAAATGATGGTTTTAAAATCATAATCAACTTGAAACATTTGCCTTATGACTTCGTTTTGTTTTCATAAATGCATCACTGTTTGAGTGTCGAAAACATAGGAATTTAAAGTTTTCTAAAAATTTACTTTCACGCATAACGCAACGCAAGTTATAAGTGCGTCCAGATTTAAATACGCACAATCAATTTTATTTTGACCATTCGTGAGCCGCGCATAAAGCAAGCATTGTGTTTTCCGTTTAACATAACGGAAAGTTATACACATAGACTGACATAAGGTTTCGTAATCGTGATCCTCGGTGTACTCTTTGCACATAGGTGGTTGAAAGCTTTCCAACATTAAATTATTAATATTAAGTTGTTGTTATAAATTAAATATGCTAGATAGAACAGTTTATTATTTGGACATATAAGCCACAAATCTATTGGCTTAGTTCATCTCTGTTCAACATACCAAAAAAAAAAAAAAAAAATATGCTAGATACTGTTCTTGCCTTTCGGATATCTTGAAATAGGATAGGTTCTTATATCGCCGGGTATGCTTTTATATAGCGTGACGATTTATGGCAAAACGACATCAACATTTCAACACATAATGTGTCATATCACATGTAAAGATTTTAAAAGGCAGTTGTGTCTTTTTGCATCTACCTTTCGCCTGCCTAAGTTCTGAGTTCATAACGGTAGTTTCCTTTCACTTTAGTGACGAGGCATTTAATATTTCAAGGGGCTAATTTAGCGTTGTAATTCTATGGCATGTTACTTAGTTCTGAGCTGTTTGCACAAATTTATATTAAATGCAAATATAAACGATCAATTGGACAGGAATTTCTTAGGTTTCTTTCTTTCCTGTATGCTAATTGTGTTCTAAAATGTTAAAATATTATTAATTCCCTCCCCCTTTTCATCATTTCGTCATAAAAAGACTATTGTCACGTATATGCTCACTTTTCATGAGAAATCTTATGTAGCTCATGGTCCAGATTACGTACCTACGTGGTGCACATTTAATTATGTCACTTATATCCTCCACAGCCTGTGTTAAAAGTTTTGTTAGGTTCGTGCGAATGCGTGTAACATCCACAACGGCCCGACGATTCTTACTGAAGGCTTACTGATAGGTTTCTATGCACTTTTGTGTTCGAATTACAGACTCCAATTTTTAAGATGTTTTGAGGACATTTACCACATCGAAGTGTTTTTTGCCCTATGATAAACGCTACTGAAAGTTAAATTAGAGCGCACCACCTTTCGGTCGCTCCCCACATAGCGCCTTGTTTTGATAAATCGTTATATGGAGAAATGGTGCAATTTTCAAAGACCTTCGCTAAGATATTCGTTATATTAAATTGATATGGAAAATATGGATCGGGTGGGAGAATTTCTTGAATCGCTTAATCTTTTTGTATTAAAAAGGTTTCAGTTACCTCATTTGACGCTGAAAATTTATATAATAGCAATTTAGTACAAACAAATTTTACCGGCGAGCCTGAATATTAAATTCCCCAACATCACTCGGCCTAATGCAATTCTATATTGTTTTCGCGAACACAATCAAAATACGTATGAGGTGCTATGGCTTCGAAAATTGGATTTTTCGTGTATTTAGACCATAAAATTGAGACTCTATTTTCAATCATCTTATAATTAAGGCATCACAAGTTGATATTAAAAAAAATTCATTTCTACTTGCATTTCAATGCAAAAGAGGGCAAATCATCTCATATATGTCACGGATTTGGAGTGATTGGCCCACAGAAAGTGTGCTGTAAATAGGTGTGCACCAAAATGAAATCAAATTGGACGTCTTATGGATATTTTGCTGTAGAAAATCAATATCTCAACGAACTTTGCCAAACTTTTAAAGTAAGATGCATTGAAACTTGTTCATTAACTTCAACGCGATAATAAAACAAGTATTTTTACTTTTTCCTAAATGTCTATATGAGCGGTAAGCTGCTCTCTCCTAAATTAATATTTTAATACGGAGTAAATAAAAGAAATCTTAATAAAGAACACGTAAAACAGTTGAAACAGTTGAGAAGCACATGTGGAACTGCTTAAAATCCTCTTTGTTTTAATCAAACTAAAATTCGAAATTATTTCACTTAAGTAGGTCAAAGAATACAAGTTGCTTTGAATTGGGAAAATGTAAAAAAACTCACCTGATTCTTGACATAATTCAATAAAAAAAACATTCCCCGTCTGCAACATGATTCAGGCAAATGCATCCTGTTATTGACTTTTATGCACCGATACATAATTATATGCGTAAGCATAAATTATTAACACGAATGTTTACGTGCGTGCAAATACGTTATGTGCAAATATCCGCAACCGTGACTTTGCTACAGCGGTTTGCTTGTCTGTAAATTATCATATCGCCCAAATTAGATAAATCTAATTACACGCTTTACACGCTGCTCTTATGCGCATGCCTATCAATGAAAGGAAAATTGTTTAATAAATCTATACACCAATATATTTACAAAATATCACAACCACAAGAGTCCTCACATTATTCGTTTTTTCAATAAACAATGAGAAACAAAACAAAAACCAAAGAATAACAAAACATATGATTTAAGGAACAATTAAGAAAACTTTGTATACATGCTGCCAGCATACTAACAATTTGTCGCTATAATCGATACAAAACACTGCCTACGGTAATGGCTTCATTATAAAGTTAAGATACACGGTTCAATATTCCGTCCAACCATTTTAATTCTAGAACGTTTTCGTAAATAAAAATATATTTACACATATAAATCATAGTCATATTTCTGTAAACCGCAACTCATATAATTCTAATAAATACATATTTTTTCTCTATAGCTCTCATGTTTACGGATAAAGGTGTTACCATTCAATTTGACATATTACTTTATAAAATCAGCTTGTTTGATTATACATTAAATAGTGCTACAAAGAGAACGATTTCTTTTTTTTCCTAAATACAAAAGGCATTTAACATACAAATTAAATTACATATCAAAAAGTAGAAATAAAAAGGGCATGCCCAAATAAACGTTGTCACAAGCTTATATTTGCTCTATGTTTCTGGTAAGTACGACTGTCTTTTACAAATTTGCATATTACCTTTTTTTTTTAGTTTTGGAATCGTCCTACTCATTCAGCACGCCAATCAGCTTTACATATTCGCGAACGCTTAGACCAAGAATTTATTGACAAACTTGATCAGTTGCATGATGGAGCGCTACGAACTGGTTTGGTTACGAAGGCAGATTTGCAAGAAGCATATAGAAAATCGCGTGATATGCAGTATAACTCAAGTCGCCTTAGTATGTGGTATACGTTTGGAATAATGGCCTTCGTTGTATTGCTCACGCCCATTTTTTTTGAAACCCTTACCTTTCTTTTGGGAGTGAAATGCTTTTTACCCAACAATCAATTGGTATGGGAGGCGACCCGCCCAATTAGCGATTGTGGCTTTTGTCGAAACGTTGATGGTCCATTAATTTTGAAAAATATGTCACGCGAAGAATTAGCTCCATATGCATATTCTACTCTGCCAATTGTTATTAAGAACGCCGTCAGCCATTGGCCAGCAACAAGTTTGCTGAGCTTAGAAATGTTAAAAGAAATTTATGGACGTTATCCAGGGGCTTTGGATGAAGACTGTCATTTTTTGAATTTTCATTCAGATCTTAAATCCATACGAGATGTTTTCAATATGTCTCCAGAAAGAGCCAATTTAAGCGTTGGTAGCACTTGGTATGTTGGCTTCAGTAATTGTCATCTTGGAGTTCTTGAAGAATTACGCAAATTATATGGGCGACCTCACTTTTTACCCGTAGATGCCGAGTTATCAAATATAGACTACGTCTTTTTGGGTTACGAACAAGGAGCATACATGCATGTAAGATAGCGATCAACTTGGTTCTAAGTTGTAAACTACTCCTTTTTTTTCAGCTGGATTATATACATCGTCTTATGTGGCAGGCCCAATTGAAAGGTAATAAAAGCTGGATTTTAGCTCCTACACCGGAATGCGATCACGTTTGTCAATCTTTCTCATTCTACGTTGAGCCGGGAGATGCAGGTAAATTAATTTTTCAACAAGGAGCCAGCGGAATCGGTATATTTCACTCTATATTCCAGTTTTAGTTGATACGCGTATATGGTATCATGGCACATCTATACCGAAAGGCCAATTTGCGTTAACCATACAATCGGAATACAGTTAAATGAATCAATACTTTTAAAAACAGTACGCAAGTAAGCACAACAAGAGATTAGTAATAAAAAGAGCACACAAAATGTGGAAAATATACTAACAATGCCAAAAGAAATTCGGTTTGTTCTAGTTTTCGGAAAGGCACAAAAGCGAACTCCCATTTTGCGCAACGCTGCGTATGTCTTCTGGGCTAAGTCCGCGTTATATCATTAATCGAGTAAGGTATTGCCATATTGAAGTTTTCTTCATATGGCTCTGTTACCCAAAACAAAAGTGTTTATTACTTCATGGAATGTCACGCTAACGTGCCATTTTCAAACTGGGTCCAGCCAGATTATATTGCGTGTAATTTCCAGCGTAGCAGGCTCATCATATGAACATGCCGTTATTAAAGAGGAATTAAATTTGTTACAACTGGCGGAAATTATCATCAAAACGACGATCGACGGAAGGCATAGATTGATATGTAAACCCAACTGTATATTTATTATTAAACATCTTTATATTATTTTTTTATATAAAAAATTATTATGTGATAAAGTGTTGGCTTTCTCTACTAAAAACAAAAAAAAACATCTATAACGTGCCTAACTTCAAAGGAATACAGAAGAGATTTTCATAATTCTTAGTTGCAATTTAAAAGTGCCGGCTTTTACTGAACTTTTATATCCAATCATAATTCATGCAAGGTATGGTAATTAGCAGTTTGTAGAGCCTATTCCAATCGTAATTTATGGAAGGTGTGGATATTAACAATTTGTAGAACCTATTTCGATCGTAATTCATGCAAAAATTGTTGAGTTTTTTTACCATTTTTCGGCACTTACGTATTAACGCCACCGCGGCAAAAATTCCATTAAAAAACCTATAAAAAGTAACCTTTTAAACTTTTAACAAAAGTTTTTTTGGTTTCTAAATATAATAATAATGATAATATTTTAATAACAATAATATTTTAATAATTTTTATTTTAACAATAATAATAATATTTTTGTCACGTTGGCGTTAATACGTAAGTACCCATTTTTCTTATTTATTGCACGCAATTCTGTGTTCTGTAAATTCTCCATAGATGGTACTTTTTTATAAAAGGAAACAACAGCTAACGTCTTTCTGTGAAATTTTACAATTGGAAGAAACAATTTGTGCGGATTACAAAATTGGCAAAATAACAGAAAATTTAATAAAAATTTGAAAAACCATTGAATCAAATCGAAAAATTGCGGCAATATTTGAATTAATAATAGATTTAAATTAATTAAAAATAAGTTTAGTGCATTGAAATAATTGAAAATACAAACAAAATTTGAAAGAAAAAATTAGTGTAATAATTAAATTAATTAAAAATAAGTTTACTGCATTAATATAATTTTTTAACTGTGACCTGAAAAAGACTTCGAGGGCCGGCAAATAATGGAATATGTTTTACCCCAGGTCACTCAACATCATTTAAATAATTTGAAAATTTTCCCCATGTTGCTATTTTTTAATATTTTTCGAAAATATATATATTTTTCAATACTTATATCCACTCTTCCTCTTCAACCCCCTTGAAAATTATTATTGTATTATAGATGAATTTTTCTTAGAAAGTTTTGGTGCAGGTTTTCTTGAAATGAAAATCAGATGAAGTTTTCTTAGAAATTTAGGATAAGGTTTTAAACAAGAGTTTATTGAGGAGTATCGATAAGTTAATTTAAACACAGTTAATTATGACAAAATTGCTTTTTTACGTCAAAAATGGAAAACTTTTATTCACACATTCGCCACAATAAGATCTATTGATTACAATGTCTAGCATAGGTGCAATAATAATGTACATTAATACAAAATGTTCTTAGAGATGATTCCAACGCAATTCTAACCTCAAGTGTTTTCGTTTCATTTTTATCCGCAACATCCGGCTAAAGAACTGCACGCAATTGAATGATAGGAACTGAAATGCTTTTGCAATCCGGCATTGGACGATTACCTCAAAACAATGCTTCAAAAAACGCGAAACAGGCACGACGCAGTTATTTTTATTTAGTACATCTGCTCGAAGCTTTTAATTGAATTTTTTCTAGTACCACAATCCCATATCAAAACCAAATATAAAAATGAATTTAGTACTTTGATCAAGAAGCTTGCATCAGAACCCAATACCATGAGATATATAAATATATCCGTATAATGGCTAAGTAATGATACACGTTCCACTTAATCAAGTAAGTAAGGAGACAATAAGAGTAGTGGTATTTCATTGGCGATAATGAACCTGAAAGAAGAATATCTCCCACTTATTTTACA